CACTTTTTACCCCCAAATTAAGTGGAAGTTAATTATCAGCTTGTTTGCTCCTTGTGCAGGGCTGACTGACTTTCTGTTTGAACCTACTGAACACAACGTGAGGGTTTTCTGGGATCCGAGCAATTACTGTGGTGAGTTTAATGAATGATGGGAATCAAACACATCCTCTTCCTTCAAGATTTAAGTGTTTAGTTTCAAACAAAGGCTCAATAACCACAGTCATTTAAAGACATTCACTTATTCCGTTGCTTTGTCTTCTCCTGCCTCCTCTGCTCCGTGCATAACCACATCTGCACAGATTCCCAGCACTGTCATGGAGAGTCGAAGGTTCCCCCCGAACCTGATGAGCTGAAGTATAATAATTGGCTTTTTTGTCCATATTCAAAGATAAATATCTGTACTTCCTGGTAACATCGGAGCACCTTGTCATTTCAACAAAGATAAAACAACAATTATTTTGTTAACATTCAACAAGTACAGCTTCCGGAAGTCTTAGAAACAGACCCACCATCAACATATCAAGGGAAGTTGTTGAATGCTAACAAAAGAAATAGTAGCCTGAAAGTAGGGCGGATCTTGGACTATCTATGCCAGGACACAGACACACACTCACACACACACTCACACACACACACACACACGTGTGCTTTTGCACATACACACACACACATTATCACGCAAGCAGATACTCACCCCCACTCTCACTCCCACTGCTAAACTACCCTCCTTAGCCCATTGTGCCTGATCTATTAAACCCAAAACAAAAGACACTTGTTTTGATTTGTTTGCAGGAAAAGGCCAGCCTCAGACTACCATTAAATGTGCGAGGACGCCCAAGATCCATGTGCAGCACCAAGCCAAGCTGCCAAATATTTATAGCAAACTCGCTGCCAAAAACCAGGCATTAATAAAACAAAATAAAAAAAAAAAGAAATCAGAAAAACAACATGTCACAAAAACCGAACAAAGCTGTGAAGCTTTGGCTGTAAAAGCGTTCATATTGTGCATGGCCTGATTAAACGCAGCCTTGGACTGGTGCTCAGATAACTGGCACACTGGCACATGTATAAGGTTACAAGGCCAAAACCTGTCAGGAGTGGTCTCATATGATACATTTTTGGCCAGAACTTCAAAGAAGTTTCTCTTTACACCCGAGCCTTGAATCATTTTGATCGCAAATCTTTGGTGACTTTTGTCGGGGACATTTGCCAGTGTTTGAAATTTTAACTTACGCTGCTGAACACATGAAAGCTTTACATATATCCTGGCTGTTACCTGCATAAAAAGAAATCTTAGTCAGTGCAGCATTGAGCAAAATGATTGTTTTTGCAGTGACTGATAGATTAATTCAACTCTACCAATATTTAAAAAGAGAGCATATTGGGTCGCTGTGATTCGTTTGCCTCTCCAGACTGTATGTGCAGTGATGCCTTCTGCTGTTATAGATGGGCACAGTCCTTTTTCACTACAGCAGTGCATTCAGCTGGAGCTAATACAGTAGTTCTTTAACTGGGGGGCGGGCCTCGTGTGGGTGGGAGCATGGTGCCACTGTAAGGAGGGCGTGGCTGAGCAGGGAAATTATGGAATGAAGAAGTTGAATGATTTCAAGTAGCGGAAGAAAAGCATTTACTGATGCTATCAGCAAAAAAACGCTGCCCATAGATACACAAGGATGACAGAAAATGATCATAGATAACAGATTTGAACTTATGTTTTTTGTTTTTTTCCCCCCATCCAATCATAGTTGAGGAGAAAATAGTCAAAGGACATTTATCCAACTATTGGAACTGCTGTATGTATATTTTTGAATCAGCAGATTTGTCATATTTCCAGAAGACCTTGATTAAATCTATGAAACAAGCAAACTGCATGATTGTTTTTTGTGACAAAGAGTGTTTCAGTCATTCTGTCATAGAGGATTAAATAGTAGGAGTCACTGGACACTCAAAGCTGCCATGATATACATGGTCTTTAATTGTAAGTGAACTTTTGTTCATTTGTTTCACTCCTTAAATGTGATTGTAATCGTCTGCAGCTTTTGTACTTTTCGAGCTCCTGGTGTGTTCAGGTGCGTATCAGTCACATATCTTAGAGGTTTACATCAAAATGCAGAATCTCAGTGGCTGGAATTCGGGATGATCACATGCCAGAAGGATACGAAACTACTGTCTCCAGTCTTTCCGATGATTAATGCAAGCCAGATACATACCTCTGTGACTTTAGCAGATATAAACATGTATACCACAGCTTTATGATTGCGCTGCATCTGCTGAATGACTCTAATACAATGCATCTTGGACTGGAATCCACGCATGACATTTTTGAAAAATGATAAAACATTCCATGTCATCCATCTCTCATGGTGATGAGAAACTGCTGGGGCTGTCTGAGGGGCAATAACAATGAATTGCTTGCAGCTCTTGGAAGGAAGAATGGTTCCAGCCCAGCTTGTAAAAGGGAGACAATACTGTATGAAGTTACAGATCATCGCAGTGACCCCAATATCCTGTTTTTGTTAGAGGCATTCAGAATCATTAAAGGCAGCATCCCTGCAGCTCTCCGTTATGACTCTCTCTCTCTCTCTCTGCAGCACAAATATGTGTGTGAGTGTATTTGTGTGCTCCAGTTGGTTTATTCATAGACACCTTTACCCACTTAGTATCACATTTGTCAATGTCAGCCACCCCCCCCTCCACTCCCCTCCATCCTAATCCCTCCTCATGTCAACACTTCATTAGTAACCCCAGCAACACATGGATATACACACACACACACACTATGCACACACACTCTATGCACACACATGCATGTCAGCACACACAGCAGTGATAGGAAGAGTGGAACCACAGCAGTTTCCAGCATTATTACTATAAGTGCAGTTTTTTCCTGAGTGACACTTATTTGGAGTGTTGATAGGAAAACTGCTGACAAACAACAGCATCGTGCAGTTTATCAATTTGAAGGGCGCAGATTCGTAGAAATACTCGGGTGGTGTCAACTGTTGTAGTTCCGGGAATTTAACAGGATATTTTTTTGCTGAAAAATCAGGATGACAATAGAAAAAAAAAAAACTTCTTCATTTGTAGCTAATCATGTAGGAAGGAAATGAACAAGTCATTTCACAAGATGTAACCATCCATCCATCCATTATCTATACGCCGCTTAATCCTCACTACGGTAGCGGGGAGCTGGAGTCTATCCCAGCTGACTTGTTTGATTTGTCAGGTTATGCATAAGGAAAGATCCATCCATCATCGATACACCGCTTAATCCTCACTGGAGTCTATCCCATCTGACTCGGGGCGAAGGCAGGAGACACCCTGGACAGGTCGCCAGTCTATCACAGGGCTACACTTAGAGACAGACAACCAAGCACACTCACATTCACACCTACGGACAATTTAGAATCACCAATTAACCTCAACATGTTTTTGGACTGTGTGGGAGGAAGCCGGAGAACCCAGAGAGAACCCACACTGCACGGGGAGAACATGCAAACTCCACACAGAGAGATCCTCACCGGGACGTGAACCGGTGACCTCCTTGCTGCGAGGCGACCACCGCTCCACCTTGCAGCCCAAGATACAATCAATAAAAGGTTAAAAAGGTTGCACCAAGTGTTGTAGGTTTGACATGTGAAATGATTTTAAGGAGCACCTGGAGATTCTCACCTCAGCTCAAGGAAAAACAGAAGCTTGTCTGCATTCACGTGAACATGAATCCCACTGCGACCAGTAAACCATCGACGGCACCTGACTGGCAGTGATTTAGAGATATTGAGCATTCAAGTCGTTAAACGTTTTTATTTCTTGGTTTGTGTAACAGTGACAGTGTAGATTTAATAAACATAAATGCAGACTACGCCGAAGGCCGTCTGTCATCGGTAGCACCAGGACAAATGTTACGTCGTCACCCTAAAACACAAATACAAAATCATGCCAGTTACTCATATGACTCAGGTTATTTGAATGTAGATAAAACATACTTTAGCTTTAAAGCTGATCAGACACATTGAATGAATCCATGCAAAGTGAAAGCGGTTTCACTTTAGCTGTGCAGTTCCCTTCATTTTTGCCACTTGAAGCTCAATGTTTTCTAGCCTTTGGTTCTTACGGCTCTCTTTAGCTTCAAGCCACATCAGGCCGCTGCGTTCAGACAAACAGTTCTGATCAACCTTCTGTACATGAGCTGTGCAGCACCAAACAGCACACTGACAGACGCATTTATCAGCTAAAGAGACCCTGACATTTCTTTACTAGGAGTTGGTGGAGATCAAAAACGAGGTAAAGAAGGCTTGAGAACATTTCCAAATTAAAGCCAGTTTGCTGTTTGGTTGTTGTAATGTGCAGCTGTTTACCTTTAATGTGGCAACATGTCAATAATATGTTTGCATTTGTATGCATTTACACTTTGTGCTACTGCCCCCAAGTGGCCAAAAAACCCAAACAATTAATGCAGTTTTAAACTAAAAGAATACCACAGTGAGTTAATCCTACAGACGAGTCTTGTCGCTGCAGTCTGCAAAGAATTATACACTGTATAGTAGAGTATAGCATAGAGTCATCAATTAAAGAGAGCACATTAACTATATAAACTGCGCTTTTGCAATAAAACACACAAAGTATATAATAATCCAAAAAATAACTCACTATTCTATTCAGATTACAATTTACTAGAAACTACAATACCCAACTGTTTCACGACATTACTTCTTCAAAGAAATGAAACTATATATTTGTACATATTTGAGTATACTAGTTTGCTTCTGAGTCTTACAGATGGATCACATAGTTGTCTTCTTGGGATTTGCTGACAAAAAGTCGGCACAATGCAAATTTTAGCGTTTATATTTTAACCTTAAACCGAGTGTTAATTAATAACAGAGACAAAGCCTTCGAATAAAGCGACTTCTTTACATTTTGACAGAATAGACCTATTAATGGAAAAACAATCCAGCATTCTGAATTTCAAAGAAACCCCGTCGCAACATTGCAGAGGTGTCAGCGAGACGCCGCCGCCGCCGCCGCGGTGGGCATGGCTCGGAGCTCCTCCTGAAACTGGTTACAGTTGGGATCCCCCCTGACTCTGGGCGTCGCCGGTATCTGGACCCCCGTTAAGGGGTTAACACACCAACACTCGCCCCGCTGGCCGTGGGTGGACATGTTGCACTGGAAAGAGAGAAGAAAAACACAAACTAGACAAGTTGGAAAACACTGGAAAAGAAGAGGAGGCGGCGGAGGAGGGGGTGGTGGGGGGTGGAAAGGGATGCACAGTGGGAAGCAGGGTACGCGTTAATGAAGCATGGCGTACGGTGGCTTGAGATGTGTGTGTGTATCCTCTGGTGGCGGGGGTCCATTGGACGAGAGTGAGGGCTATGGCTCGGGTGGGACGACACTCACCCAATAACAGCCTGTCCTCAGGTCATGCCCCCTACACACAACCCATCCACAGACACACATGTCATCACAAACACTCTCACACACACACACACTGAGGCATGCCAGTAGACCGGCCCCCCCGCGGAGCCCCCCTCTACTCAGAAATGAGGTCGTAATTGAAGTGGACACAGTTTACGCCGCGCACACGGGGCGGCCCGGGTAGGGGACGGCGAAAAGAATGAGGAGCTGGGGGGAAAGAAAAGACTTTCCATTTTCTTCCTTCGATGAGAAAGAACAAAAAAAGTGACAGTTACAGTAATTACCGCGCGACAAGGAGGGACAACTCCAAAAGGGAGCCGAGTGTTGAGGAGGTACAGTGTTCCTCCCTGGGAACCGAGGACTCCAGTCCGAAACAATGCTGTTGTTTGTGACCAGTGATGAAAATTGGCTGAGTGGTTGAGAGCCCTGCTTTAGGAAACTGTGGCGCCTATTCAAATCTTCTTTTCTGCTCTACTATCCTCGTAAGAAAACACTGGATATGTGACCTTGTTTGTCCTCCTCTGTCCGATTTCTATGGATGAGCAGAATTCAAATTCCCCCCAGTCGGAAGCACAGTTCGTTCCTCGGCTTAACAAAAGTCTTCCCATGAAGTACGCCAAACAGTTTTATTGCCTTGTAACCTTGAGCTCAGAAGCTTGTTGCCTCATTCATGATGACAACATCTCCCCACGCATTTGTGAGTGTGTGTGTGTGTGTAGGTGTGTGTGTGTGTGTGTTTAAGAGCACAGCGCTAAAGGAAGAGGAGGAGGGTGTGTGTGAGTGTATAAAAAAAAAAAGAAAAGGGGGGAGTTATATTTTTGCCAGGGTGATTTTGCCAGGCTGATACAAGAGGACTGTGTGTGTGTGTGTGTGTGTGCATGTGTGTGTGTATCTGTCATGTGTGTGTGAGTCAGACTATGAAAGAAAAGAGAGGGGAAATCCAAGAGAGAACTACACAAAATAATATGTTTGTCTCTGTGGGTGAGAGGCCGATTCCAGAGAAAGGGCGAGAAACGAAAAAGAAAAAGGTGAAAAAGCAAAGGAGGAAAAAAAAAAAATTAAAGGTCAAGTTGCACCAGACCTAAATTATAAATTACACGTGCAGGCAAGAACAACCGCAGTTTGATACCGATCGCTGCGGCAGCTTTTTTTTTTTCCATCATCAAAGTCAGCGGTCACTACTTGCAAACATCAACCAGCAGCAGTTTAAAACCTGATGACATCTGCAACCACTTGAGTCTCCCTGGTGTTACCGTCGAATCAGTAAGCCACCGGCGAACGCTCTCGACGTGAGCCGAATCTTTCAAACATGTCACAACCGAGGCCAGATCGTAATGAGTGATGTCACAGCAGGTGCTTTGCCTTTTTGACGGCGGATGGAAAACACCTGCTGTGACGCCGCGGATTGGGGTGTATTGTGACATTTGTGAAGGTTTCCACCCGCAGAGAGCAGCTGTTTTCTCGCTGCGTTCGTTTCTATTTTACCAACATGACAAATGAGTTTACAGTAGATGTGATATGAATTATCCATCATCCGAATAATGGAATTTGAATACATGAGTGTTATGAAGAGCAATATTTTTCCAGTGGCACAAAATACACTATCAAGTGCCAAATTCACTCAAACAACTCTTCTATTACTGAAACACTGTTTAGAAATTTTTACATGTGCGTCATTCTATAAACATTTTCCTAAAATTGTCTCTGACACACTGTATTTGGATATCTCTGGAAACTTTGGGAAATGCCGGTTTGAACAATTGATGTTGATCTGGAGTTTATTTCCCCCCCCGTCATCCAAAAGTTGTTGTGCCTCTTAACTTGTTTGATACCACTGATGGTTCTGGAAATCAGATTTGGTTTGAAAGCTCATCATGTTTGCACCTAACAAAGAATACTGTTTAGCGTGAGTAGAGGTCAGCCATGGCAGATTCAGTGAAGAGAAGAGTAAATACACACTGAGTCTTACCTTTTTAACTTGACAAAACTGACGATTTTGACCCCCTGGGGGGCATGGCCAGTTGAACAAATTGGAAGACTCTTGGGCAAACGTGAGATGTTCTGCCTCTATTAGGTCCAAATTAAAAAGAAAACAAAAAAGACCTTCTTCAAGACAGGGCATCAAGATCTGGCTCTTGGGTAGATCTTGGGTACCCCTGAAGTTCCAGAGGTACCCATAAGTAAACCATGCCACACAGGGCCACGCCCCTCCACGGGATGTGTCATTGGCAGATAGATATGGTGGCTGACAAAGATATCCTTCCAGTGGAGGACAGTGCAGTTCTCTGAAAATCACAGCACAAGAACAGACTCTGACCACCAGAGCCTTAGAACCAGACGGGACATAAGTTGCAGGCTGTGAGACAGTCCAGCACATAGCAGCAGGGACTGAGAGGTACAACCAAGTGGCTGGGATAGTGTGTGGGGACATCTGTGCTGAGAATGGGCAAGAAGTTCCCATTTCCCAATGGAACACACCACTGGTGAAGAACCACAGACGAGAGATTCTCCAGGATTTCAAGTTCTAGTCTGACAAACAGCTGCTAAATAACCAACCTGACACAGTGGTGGTCTACAAGGAGCAGAAGAGGGTGGATGTGATGGTTGTGATAGTCCAGCTGACAACAACATCAGGAAGAAGGAGCAGGAGGAAAGCAAGAAGTACCAGGGACTAAAGAAACAACTGGAACAGATGTGAATGGTCAAGTCCACCGTAGTTCCAGTGGTAACAGAAGCATTAGGGGCTGCGATCCCCAAACTAAGAAGGGCAGATTCAGCAGATGCCAGGTATAGTAACTGTGGTCTCTGTCCAGAAGCGTTCAGTCTTGTGAACGACTAAGATACTGTGTTGGATCCTGAAACTCCCAGGCCCTCTGACAGCGGGTGTTGTGCCACCATATACTGTCAGAACAGCTTTAATGTATGTCGGCATCGATTCTTCATGTTGGAACACCATTCTTCCAAAAGATGTTCCCTCAATTTGTGCTTTGTTGTTGGTGGTAGCGAGCGCCAAGACATTGGTCTAAAATCAGTTGTTCAGCTGAGATCTGGTGACCTTAGAGGACACAACACAGGATTCACATAATTTTCATTAAACTCTTCAGTGGCCCGTCATAGATGAAGGCATGTCATCCTGGAGGAGAGCAATTCAGTCATGATGTTTCATGACAGAATAAAGGTGATCACTCAGAACAACTTTGTATAGATTCCACGGACTCTTCCCTCCCAAAGCATGCCTGCAAAATGCCCCCTACAGGAATTGGATCATCTCACTGTAAGGGTCAAGAATTTTGTCATATATGTATACTGGGGGGGTTGCAAGGTGGGTCGGTGGTTAGCACCATTGCCTCGCAGCAACAATGTCGCCGGTTCGTGTCCCAGTGAGAAAACCCGGGATCTTTCTGTGTGGAGTTTACATGTTCTCCCCGTGCACCGTGGGTTCTCTCCGGGTACTCCGGTTTCCTCCCACACAGTCCAAAAACATGTTGAGGTTAATTGGTGATTCTAAATTGTCCGTAGGTGTGAATGTGAGTGTGCTTGGTTGTCTGTCTCTAAGTGTAGCCCTGTGATAGACTGGTGACCTGTCCAGGGTGTCCCCTGCCTTCACCCTGAGTCAGCTGGGATAGACTCCAGCCCCCCATGACCCTAGTGAGGATTAAGTGGTGTATAAATAATGGATGGATGGATACTGGGGGGATTTTTTATTCTCTTTATGACTGTTCTCTGCTTTTTGTATTTTATCTTTTAATATTAATGTATTATTGGTGCATTATGCTGTAAACCTTCTTTTCTAACAACATGACAAAGACTTTACATGTGAATTTACTGACTATAGGTGTGTCACAGATGGGTTTGTCTGTGAAATCACCTTACCACTAACTCATTCATGCACAAAATGAGAAGAGAATTGCCCTTTGGCCACAGCTCACCTGTTTGAGGTTGTACAGTCCCTGTTTGTCACAGTTTGGAAATTTGAGTTCATACAGATTCTCCAGTGGGCCTCTGTTATCCTCTGAAGTAATTTTGGAGATCTCCTCTAAGACTTTGTCCAGCTCCTGCTGACAGGCGCTCTGAAAAGACGAGTGAGAAAGCTATTAATACCAACACTAACAATTACAATAACTATTTAGCACGTATCAAAGGGGAAGTTCAGTACAAAAGAGGGGGAAAAAAAATACTTGAAGTCCCTGAGATAAAATCATGAGGAGTTAGGTTGAGTTAAGCTGGAGGCCGAGGAATGCGTTCTGTCCAAGAAAAAGAATGGTGAAATAAAATACTTCTGTGTGTCTTGTAAAAATGTCACAAATATACACATTTATAGCTAACATTTTTATGAGGTGCAGTTAGGCAAGCAGCAAGTTCAGCCAATATTATTGATGTGAGTCTGGTGGAGTGGAACATGAGTGGCCAGACTACTTAACTCAGCTGGTGGCCGTGACCACACACACACACACACACACACATACACGAACGCACACAGACACACACATGCATATACACAAACTCAAACACACGTGCATGCGCCAACCTGTGCAGACACATTTTCATGCATAAATATCATGCATACTGTTCCTGTACACACTATGGAACACACACTTAGCATGTATTCGAGTGTGCGCTGTAATGCACACACAGCGTGTATCAGTCTGCCAGCGGATCAAAGGAGTCCGGTCTTATGATTAGTTGGCTGAGGATGAGAGAGAGGGGCAGGGGGAGGCACAGTCTGCCTCCAACCTTATCAGACATCTGAACATATGGATGAAAAGTGCTCTTTCTCTCTCCCTGAGTCTCTCTTTCACACTCTCTCCTCCAGTCTTTGACTCTCATACTAAAGACACACATAAATCCACATGTCAGTACACGCACTCTCCAGTTTCAGAGCTGCCTATTGCTCCTACATATTAAAGGATACTTTCTAATTATTCCAAGGCCATTTTATTTAATACTCCCAAGCCATATGTGTTGCGCTGCAGACGTAAACCGCAGAAGCCAACATCTTAAGCAGGCTGAGAACAGCAGTCCGAAGTTTGCAATTAATGCAGCATCAAATGTTTGTTGCCACTGTTGCCTATAAGTGTTTTTTACTAGCACTCGCTGCAGCCAGCTCGTGCTTAATTAGTCTGTAGCATGACATGACTGCACATTTTTATTTTTTATCTTCAGAGTTTAGAATTTTTGCCTGTCATTCAACCATTCAGACACATTCACAGAAGGTGGAGGAAGCGAAGTACCCACCTACCACCACCAGCAGCAGCAACTCCTGTCCACATGTGGAGCTGGAAAGGAATTCAGCCCCTAACTCTGTGATTACTGTACAACCTGCTCTCCCACCTGAGCCACAGCTGCAGCAGGTAGGGCCTCCCTTTACTCTCTTCGTGTCATGGATTCCACATTCCTCCTAGATTCTGACATTATTCAACACATTGTTTTTTGCAGAATTGTCAGCTGCACAATAATTCTGGGAACCTCCCAAAGGTGTTAGATTCAGATCTGGTGTCTGAGGAGGCCACTGGAGTCTACTGTCATGTTCATAAAACCAATTTCAGACGGCTTGTGCTTACACTGCTGTCACCTGAAGAAATTTTGACGTGAAACAAGAGTATGTTGCACCTGTGACATAGTAGGATATGCTTTCAGTTTGAATGAGCCACAAAGTCCACCTAAGGAGACAGGAGGGGAGGATGGAGGTTTAAATCAGTGATTAGATCTACACCCAGCAGACCGATGCTCACATCCCATGTGGGACCATTATTCTTAAGTTTCATTTTTAATCATTTACTTTCTATATCACTTACTAGTTGGTGTACAGCATACAAAACATATGTTCAGAAAAATGTCACGCTTTCATTAATATATTCATTGTGTTAACTACTTTAAAAACCTTAGTTAAGTTCTGGCACCAAAACGACATGGTAAGGTTGAGGAGTAAAGCACCCTGTTGCATCACCTATAAGCTTCTCCTATATTTTTTGGGGTTACCCGGCTGACGAATCCCACCCCGTCTAATATATGACTGAAATGAAGCAACAGTAAAGCAATGAAAAAATATAGCAAACATATGGCGATTAGAAATGTACATGCTATACATCATGAACATATGAATTCCAGCAGAAAATATGTTCGGCAGTTTTGCTATGTAGACATTTGAGAGACAGGGCTGCATCACGCACATGGTTAGCAACGACGCTGTAGCAGCTAAACCTTAAATGGTGGTATTAAGGGGCCCAAAGTGTGGCAAGAAAATATTCCCCGCAGCATTACACCAGCAGCTGCTGCTGCAGCCTGGACTGTTGACACAAGGCAGTATGGGTCCGTGGATTCATGCTGTCAGTTCTGACCTACCATCTGTAGCCTCAGCAGAAATAGAGATTTATCAGACTATGTCACATTTTCCTGTCTTCATCTGTGCAGCGTTGGTGAGCCTGTGTCCACAGCGGTCTTGAATACCTGCTCCTGACTGACAGAAGTTAAACCTGTCGTTGTCCTCTGCTGTTGTAGCCCATCATCTGTCAGAATGCACAGTTGTAAAGAGCGCCTATCTGAGTTAAAGTCGCCGTTCTGTCAGCTCCAACAAGTCTGGCCATTCTTTTCCAACCTCTCATCAACAAAGTATTTTCAGTCCAGGGAGTTTCTGTTCGTTGTAGGTCTTTTACACCATCCCGACTAAACTCTAGAGACTGTTCGGCGTGAAAATTCAGGAAATGAGCAGTTTTAGAAATACTCCAACCAGCTGGTCTGACACCAACTAGGTCAACGTGGTCAAAGTCACTGACATCACATTCTTTCTCTATTTTGATGTTTGATGTGAACATCAACTGCAGCTCCTGACCTTCATCTGCAGGAGTCATGGCTGCTTGGACAAATGCACGAATAAGCAGCTTTACAGGTGTTCCTCCTAAAGTATCCGGTGAGTTTATGCACTATATGTACGGTGCCAAGTCTGGTGCGACCCCGGCTCAGACAACACAGCCTGCATTTTGCACACAGTTCTATGACCTCACATGACCACCCGTAATGAAGTGCATCCATGCTTGACACCATCCGTCCTAAGTCCCTCTCCCGGTCCAGCTGCACAGCTCCTTCTACTGTACTCTCTTTTGTTGGTTTTAATGATCTCGACAATTGTATTGTACCTCACCACCTATTATTTTTGCTGTTTTTTTCCTGTTTTGTTTTGCTGAAATTGAGTGAGTTAAGTGAGGGAGAAAATGAGCAAAAGCATACCATTGTTTGCCTTATTGAGACATATATGGGCCTCCGCATGCGTAGCGCCCTGGAACCAAGCTCATTTGCATGAAACAGAATATCCGTGCTTGTGCGCCACCCCACTGAGAATATTCCAGGAATTGTTTTTTTATTTTTTTGTTTTGTGGAGTTGTGTTCGAGACTGTGAAATGTTAAGTGAGAGCTGAAGAATAGAGGGAGGCGGGGTTTTGTAATCTATAGGTTGCCTCAAACTGCCAACGCGCATTCCACTGTGGCGAGCAAAACAACATCACTTTTCATAATAAAGATGCTCATTATGAGGAGTTGTTGAAACTAAGGGAACTGTCACATCTACGTCTGGGTTGAAAAACACATGAATTAATGGACAGAGGGAGCACAGGGCATACGTTGAAGCGGAAAGACGTCGTCATACTGGTTGAACGCCAAAGAGTTTAGAACACATACATTTGCAAGACAGCATTGGATACACAGTGAGTATCTTTAGACTGATTACCACAGAATTTCAGAAACTTAAGATGCATGCTGTGTTACATTTGAACAGTTATTGATTCAAGAGATCAGCGTGTGCGTTTATTAAAAAGTCTCATCCCCACCAAGTGAGGCGTAAAGGTTTGGGGGTGAAGTTAGGGTGGGAGCTGGGCCTGCAGAAAGAGTGCATGAAATGAAATGATGATGATGATGATTAAAAAGCATGTGTCTGTGTACATGCATCTGTTTGTTTGAATGAAAGAGTGCCCAGAGGAGGGCACCACTGTACCAGACATTGTCACACACACACACAGCACATCATTAACCTTGTGTCACTGCTGGACACACTGGTCATCCCACTGCAGCACTGCTGCAAGACAACACGAAAGATATAAGATAGGTGGCCGAAAAGGGGGAAGAAATGTAGTGAATAAGAACCTATATTGCAGAGTATTGAGATTCTGTTATGCTGATATTATTAGATTTTAACTTCCCTCTGCAGGGGAAGGTTACAGTAGGTTTGCATGTAAGATGTACAGTAACTCCCAACTAGATTCAACTGCCTCTGATGTGGAGCATGCTATCAGCTGATCCACAAAAACAAATCCTGGTACATGGCTGTGGATAGACTATGGTTCAAAGGTTTAGTCCTGACCTGAGGCACTTTCTGGGTTCGTTGTTCCTCCAGCTGATTCGTCTTCATCTTGGTTTTGCGCTCATTGCTTAAGCTTTTCCTGGCCGACTCTTTCCAAAGCCAAGCGTCTATGGCGGGTCTCCTGGTGAGTGGGTTTTCAGTCCCGTGCACCTCTGCAACAAATAAACAAAACAAAACAACTTGAGACATAATCTGTAGCAAAATATTTCTCAGCCGTCCTGAAAGCAGACGTCATGCGTGGATCCAGAAAAGTCGTTCCGAGATAATTCAACTTTTTCGGTTTCAGTCCTTGTGTAACATTTGGTACTTCCTTGAAATCCTTCTTTAGAGTCAGTTCTTTGAGCCTGACGGTGATACCTGCTCTGCTTTTTGGAATGTAGTAAACGGACAGATGTTAAACGCACACATGCAAAACTACCTCACAAACTAAAACGCTCACATTTATCCATTCTGTAATCACGAGCTGCCATTATAAGCAACCATGCTTCTAATAACAGGCCCCTTTACAAGTTTTCTTAATCCTGGAATTAGAAGACAAAGTCGCTCTGTGTCCTCAAGGCATCCTGTGTCCCTCATACCTCATGTGACTAATTCTATGCTGGACGGTCAGGCGTTGCGATGGCTGTAATTACTATGGCGACAGTGTGGATCTTTTTTAGTGAAACGGTAAAGTGCTACATCCAGCCCGCTGAGGTTTAGAACTTTTCTTGCCGTTTGCTCAAGTCTCCCTCTGAGCAGCTGGGTCACCGTGAGAGCGTTTGGCTGCCTGTTGTAACGATAGTATGTGCATCATTTGGTGGAAACAGGAGAGACACAAACAACAAGCTAACAAGGTAATTCAGAACAGGCACAGCTGAAACTAAGCCGTACGCCGCGCCACTGATGGCTGCACGGGTAAAACACGGATACACGCAGGGGGTTAAACGGTACAGACATTCATCAGCACAGTCATGACAAAGGCAGCGAATTAAAGAGCTGCAAGTCGCTGGAGGTGAATCCAGACTCGTGAGGACGCACATCTGATGGAGGCTTTTCGTGCTGACTCAGGGTTTTTTTTTTTTTTTGGGTACCTAACCTACCTGCCAGAGGCTCAGTGGGTGTGTGTGTGTGTGAGTGTGAGTGTGTGTGCGTGTCTGTAATTAGCGCTGAAGCAGAACTCTGAGGCTGTAAATCACGCCTGAGAGGGAAAGGCCCCCCAGTCTTCACAGCTCCTTACACAAGCTATGGCACTGTCGGAATGTTTCTGTGCACGCGCACGTGTGCGTCTGTGCACGTGTGCAACGTGCACACTCTGCCAGGTGTGAACACTAAGCATTTGTGGCTTCTGCACTCCAACAAACCTTTGTCTCACAAGTCACATGCAGCCTTTTGTCCTCGTCTATCAACTTTGCTGATGTGTTAACAAAACCTGGTGTCTTCAATTTTCTGTTGTTTCAGGAAGTCTGGCCACAAGAGGTGCCAAAGGAAAGTTTAGAACACATACACCAAGTTATACTATTATTGCTGTCCATATACTGTATGGTGCATTGAAGTGTTAGCAGTTCCTATCCTGCAGATTTTTTCTACAAATGAAGAGTTGATTTGCAAAAACAGAGAACTCCATCTTCACAAACCTTCAGAAAACCCACTTTTCCATCATCTACCTGAGACAATATCAATTAAACTTATGTTATCATGTCATTTCTACTGAGTCAAATCCACTCAACTTCAGTTTGAGTGATAGTATCTCAAGCAAACAACAAAAAAATCTACAAAAATGGAGTTATCTGTTTTTGCAAATCAACTCTTCAAATACAAATATGAGGTTATTTTTACTTATCTAGGTTTTTCATCAGGCACCAACTTGTAGTGAAGTGCCGCACATCCCTGTGAGTGATAGTGTGATGATAAGTCACTCAGTGACTCAGATGTATAGAAATTACCTGGCTCCTAATTATTCAAAAACTGGCTTTATATCTAGCAATCAGATCTTGCCAGCACTATCTGACAGACACTTGAAAGGAAAGATGATTATCTGAAGTTAAGGTTGTCAATTCATGGTAAATAAGGCGTGCACAGACATGGCCAAAAGTGTTGCTACCCTTACACTGAGTGCACCAAGGTTCTCTTGCCATGCATGCCTACGTGCTTATTAGTTTGCCATTGAATAAGATGAAGATGCTTAATTCTTGTTTTTTTCATCAAGATCATTTTATACTACTTTTTAGTCTACTTAAAATCTGCTGCGAGGACTCCACTCTACATGCACAGCAGGTCGTATCTACGTACTTCGTGCACACTCACTGATGCCAAGCATGTGCACTACTGCCCTTGTAGTGTAGTTGACATGCAGTCGCAAAGTTTGGACTGCATGTCAATGTCTGCAGAGGGATCCACGTGGACTCTTGCGAGCGTAGGGAGAATATGAAATTTCCGTCACGTGGACCCTAACAGACCATCAAGGACGTGGAAGGAAAACTGGCCTTAGAAGTCACAATAAACAAATGTATTGTCATAATATTTCAAGCAGATGATTGTATTTGATTAATGTCACAGTCGACTTCAATAAGCACTTATCTCCATCTAAATAGAGATGAGAACTTATTGAGCTGTTATCATTGTGTGCGGCACACTGATGGACACATGGGCGACAGAAAAAAAAAAGAGGCTGTCTGCAGAGATGTCTGAGGAGGAAAATAATTGCCATGCATGGTCAGGATAAAGGCTGCAAGACCATCTGCAAGTAGTCTGATGTTCCTGTGATCACAGCTGCTAATATTATTAGGACGTTTAAGGTTCATGGGACAGAAGCCAACCTCCCTGGATGTGGCCACAATAGGAAAACTGACCCGAGATTGAACAGAAAACTAATTCGAATGGTGGAAAAAGAATCAGGGGAAACTTCAAAACACATACAAGCTGATCTCCAAGATGTTATGTCCCTTACTGAATGAAAGTGGGCTCCTTCGGAGACAACCCTACTTTGGAAAGAAAAATATTTAAAAAACAGTCTGGAGATGCATGTTGACATGTTTTTGGTAAGGCGCATCAAGCCCATGGTCACAGAAGAATGATGGAGAGCACCACCCCCGCTGTGAAGCATGGGGGAGGGTCTGGAGAGGTTTGGAGCTGCCTTGAATGTATGCAAAGAACAATGAAATCCAACAAGCATCAAGATATTCTGCACAGTCCAGTGTCAGTCGCTGGTCGTGCCTTTGCTCTTTGGAAAGGAGACGGCACCTAACAAACCTGAGAGAACAGGAACAGTTCGCTCAGCAAGAGTCGAACTGTCATCTGTGAAGTGTTGGAGTCTCATTAAGCGCTACAAGAAGTGCTTGTTTCAAAAGGGTGTGCTTTAAAATATTAAACTCTATTATTTCTGTCCATGTCATTTTCTTTTGTTGTATTGTCTACAGACCCGAAGTTGTTGTTTTCTCCGTACTAACATGCCAACAGTGTGCGAAAAGACACCTCGTGATCCACGGCTTCTACCTTGAAGAGACAGCGACTTCGTAGATCTACATGTTCTAAAGGATTAGAGGGACTATTTTCATGAAAACAACTTTTAGAAATGTGACTTTAACACACAGAGAGGAGTTTGTCGGGGTTAAATCAGCGACCATGGAGGGACTTTAAAGCGGCAGCTGGCAAGTTTTCAGCTACCACCCCACAGCGTATGGATTGGTCGCTTTGTAGGAAACCGATCTAAACACTGACATTATTCTACAGTCATTACATTGTGCAGTCAACTTTTTTACAGCATAATGATGGACCATAAGGATAAAGCAAAAACCTTTTCTATTGCCTCTTAAAGTGGTACCAGCATTTATGGTCAGTTAATGAAGTACATGTGTGTGTGTACCAAATTTCCAGGGATTTGGTGCAATATTTAAGGAGATATTTCTCCGGGGAGGAGTTGTGGACAGACTAATTGGCCAACATTACTGTCACTCAACCCCACATTTAACTCACTATAATAGAAGACAATATTCTGGCCACACAGCAAAAATCTTTCCAATCTGATAAAGTACTTTATCAGACTAGAAAGATTCACATATCCACACTTCACATGGGCAGACCGTGTGGCCACAAATAAGACCTAAAATGTCAAGAATACAAATTACCTCCACTACAGTGTGTCAGCGCTGGCTGAACATCATAAATTCCAACCTCCAGCTGAGCACACAAGCTTAGAATTATGTTCCAAGTTGTGTTACAATATTCACAAACAGTGGAAGAATCTCTCACATGGGAAACTTTCGCAGATCAAGAAAGAGCTTGAAATTATTAAATTTATGTCTGCTGTCAGATATACATAAAACCATTTTGAAACAACACTGAGGAAACTGATAGGGTTTTCATTCCCCCGTAGAAAAGTCGAATGCTGTTGCTACGTGTATCAAAAGTGAACGAAGCAGGAATGCTGCTTTGTGGTCAAGCAAACTGTTTAAATATAGACAGGTTGTAAAGGTTTTCTATAGACACTTATAGAAACTCATGACAGCATTTTCCAAGGAGAAAAAACACGTCTTTAGCCAACAGCTGTCATCTAAATACTGTGTTGTTGATTCTGTCTCAGTGCCATAGAAACTACCTGTCTCAAGCTGTTGGGAGTGTTGGCTTTGGGTATTGCCTTTAAGCAATGCTTTCACAGTTCTCTCATAGCAAAGAATGAGTAATGTCTTTCCAGAGTTGCTTAGCATTAATGTATTTGCCCTGTTATCGTATACAGTGGAGCTGTGTCTCAAATGCTTGACTGGGCTTTGACGGCCAAGAAAGTGACCTAACAGTACTCTCAACCATTGTCTGTGTAAATGGTTCCTCTTAAGGCTCGACCACTTCAAACACTTTACAGCTGGTTAAAGCAACAGAATAATGAAGGTCCCCTTCAAACCTTTTACGGTTAGCTAGCTCTTTCAACTCTTGATGTTGCTCTGCTTCTATGTGGCTTTGTGTGTCATCTTAACCAATGAAGTCGCCTTTGTAGTTGTTAAAAGGAAACTTTGGCACTTCTACAGCGTTTGTCAGACTCAAAAGGCAAAAGGGTCAAAGTGATTTATTTTTTCGAAATGTACACTTTTACCATTTTCATATGTGCAACTATACAGTATATTCAGTATAAAATGGCCTTGATGATGTCATGCGGAGAACCAAAATCCATATTTATCGTTAT